TGATCTCGGCCGTCCGAGCTGGGCATGACTCATGAGTCATCTTGGAGCACCAATAGGGGTCCTCCACGTGTCCAGGGTATTCTCTTCCCCAAACAATAATAATTCTCTTTTAAATAATATGTATTATTGTTCTTCTTAAATTATATTATATTCCTAACATAAGAGATAGATCCATTTACTTTTCACTTCAAGAACTTCTTTTCTATTCCGCAGTACGCACCCTCGTATTTAATTTGTATCATTTCAAAGTATCCAATAAATTATCTATAATTTAAAAATAAAAATTAATTTCAACATAAACTCTCTCAATCCGTATTTGGAAATTTGAATATAACATGCATATAAAAATGAGGAAATTTTCCAAATTGAAAATAACATGTAAATAATAATCATACATATTTTAAAATTGAAGGTTGTGCTGCCYCATCAATTATCGCTTAGCTATGCTTATGTTGGTGGTTGTTTAGCTTTTAAGTTTCAATAAATGAGTGTTTCTTTTTTTCTATATGAAATAATTAGTTCATTTAGAAACTGATTAACCTAATTTTTTAATATGAACCGTAAAAATATATAATAGATTCTTCGGAAAACTCCATTTCCATTGATAATCAACATTCATTACACATGTCAAAGTCATGGTAATTGAACGTATCTCAAATAGAGCAAAGGTCTACTCTTTCCGTCCGCTCTTCCCAAAGTGAGCGAATTGCATGTAGAGATCCGTAGGGGCTTATAGTTTAATTGGTTGAAACGTACCGCTCATAACAGTTATATTGAAGGTTCAAGCCCTACTAAGCCTACCACCCTTTATCTTCACCTGATACAAGGCAGTTGAAGTCTGCGCTATCCTACAGATCTCAATCTAGCAATGTGGAACCACACAGCTGCCGCTATCCTTTGGGCACACCTCCCACACGTTGAAAAAATTGAGTTTGATCTCTCACTCAAACATGTAGTACTGAAAAAAAGAAAAAAAAACATTCACTGCATATTGCAAAAAACTAAAATAAACCAGTACAAAAAAAAAATCAAAACATTCCCTACATTGCAAAAAAATTGAAATAAACTAAGACATACTAAAATTTAACTTTAATATTAGAGTCAATTTCCTTCCTCTTAAATCCATGGATCTGACTCAATTGTGTGATAGACTCGCCATCTACAGCCCTTCATAAAAAGTTCAAAAAAAGTGTTTGCATAACCTAGTCAATTTTAGAAAATTAAAGGTTTACAACAACATAATTTTATTTTACAAATTTAGATATAATTTTTATTTTACAAATTTATTTGAAATATTGTTGAAAGAATATTCTTGTGTGTCAAATGAAAAAAAATGGTATTATTATTATTATTATTATTATATATTTGTACAATATGTGGGGGTGAGGAATCGAACTCACAGCCTCTTATGACAATTACCGAAAAGCTATGTTCGCTTTGACAAATTAATATGAAATAATTGATAGGATTTAGAAAGAAAAAAATGACATTAGAATTCTTAACTTAAATTTGTAAGTTTTGATAGGGTTATTTAATACTAGGTTTTGTGTATTAATAAAATTTAATTTATATTGAATTACTACGTTTTTGTGGATTTTTTTTTTAAATAGAGAACAAAAATTATGACACTTCAATAAATTTAGAATTTAAAATTTAAATTCATTAGAAACCTTAATTAGACAGGTTAAGATTATTTAAGAAATACGTTTTTCTAAAAAATAATATTTAAAAATGAGATTGAATCATATCACATTTTTATATTTAAAAAAAATAAAATAAAATAAAAAATAGTATGCACTGAAAAAGAAAAACAAAAAGGAATTAAAAAAACATGGGCTACCTGTGATTCGAACCCAGGACACCAGGCTAATATATTTGAAAAAAAAAAAACAAAAATAAAATTCGCTAAAAAGGAAAAAAAAAAATTTGTGCGCCACCTACGATTCGGACACACGAAGCCAAGGCTCCTCAGGATGATAAAAATTACTTTAATCTATAATAAACATCATTCAAAATTTTTATGGTGCGTTTGGTTACATACTTGGAAAGATTCTGAAAATTTGTAAAATACATGCTTTTACAGACAGTACTTAATTAATACTTCCTAAAACTACTTGACGAAAAAGTGCTACTCTACAAAATCATCCTAAAACCGCTCCAAATATATTAGAAAAAAATCATTGATGAATGAATCTCATAATAAACTATGGCCAACCACCAAACATTCAACCTCTACGAATTTTCTTTCTTAGTTTATCCTCTTCCCTATATCTCACCCGTCGTTCTTCTCTCTGCCGCTTTTTATTAAGCTGCTCGTTTTTGGCATTCTCCGCTTCGAGTTCTTTTCGCTTCTTCTCTTCTTTGAGCTTTCGCTTTTTCATCTATCGGAAACAAATTGAGAAAGAAGATGATTAGAAGTTGTGAAGCCGTATAATAAAGTAATTCGAAACTCTAAGAAAGGGTGTTCTGGGCATTGTGTGCTTAGTTATGCTTACTTTCTCGTGTCTCATAAGTTGAAGCTGCTGAACAAGAGCATGAACTTTTCGATCACGAGGCTCCATAACGACAGCTCTTCGGTTTTCGAGAAGCAGCCTCTGCTGACTAGGTGTATCCTTTGGTTTTGATTTGAATGGCAAGGCTGCTTGTAATGACTTGGGAACCACCAATGGATTGAACTTCCGCTTTTGCCTTTCAATTGGCTGCAACCGAAAAAAGAAAAACAAATTTAAATTCGACAGACAATAAAATCGAACAAAAGAGAGAGAGGGAACTCCATATTCAAACTCTGTTTCTCCCTGCAAGATAATACCTTGTAGATGGAATCCTTGTTCACAGGAATGGGAAGGTTATGTTCTTTCCTAAGTTCAGCCACAGTTTTCATCCCTTGCCAAATATGATCGCGAGGTTGCAATGCTGTTGTCAGCGGGTTGTAGAATTGAGGAATTTCAACTCGAGTCCATGCACGCAAGAAAACTACATCGCTCATCCGAATCTTGTCCTCAAAGGTGCACCTAGCAATCCCTTCTTTGGCTACACCTCCTTTCTTTTGGGGTTGATTACCAATCTCCTCTTTTGCAGCCTGCGAATAATATTAAAAACAATAGTTAGGACTAGGCAATTAAACATTCATCAATATGTCTAATATTTCTATCGATTTCCATGATTCAACAGCTCGACGTTGACATAAAGAGTTGATCAATATTTTCATTACATGGTAAAATTATCAACCAAACATAAAAAAATGTTAACAAAATATCAGAGGCATGAATCTAATACTAATACTAAAGAATTTTAAACTCATCTAAAAAAGTGAAATGTTTATTTATTAAGTATTTCTTGATTTCTATGATATTTTAAGCAATATCTATCAAAATCGGAAAGATATTTTAATCAACAATCCCACAAACTTGGAACGACATCCAAATTTCCATTAATATCAATATTTAAAATCTTAGCTAGAACATCATAATCATTATGGGAGAAATAGTCATCCAATTTTCACTGCAATCACAAGTTTCTAGAAATAATAACAAAAAAGAATGGTTATTTCCACAAACCGATAATCTAAAACAAATCTCACATGAAAATAATTAAGCTAGAGCTTGTCAAGCGCCAAGCAAATATCAACAACTCATCACAGTAATTGGTGTATTCGGAAGTGATGGTAGAATAAATAATTTTGAAGAAATAGATTTAAGTATAATTAATTTTCCAAAATCACCATCCAAGTGATACCTTAAAATTCAATTTAAAGTTATTTTAAACTTTCCTAAAATTCATTTTTAATTTGCCAAACATGATCAATGGGGAGGGAAGTGAATTTGACAAGGGCAAAAGTGATTTTGACCAGACCAAAATCACTCCCAAACACACCCTAGAAGCTTCACAGGACTATAGACCTATCTACTAACTACTACTAAAGCAAGGATTTTATCTCATGGGAACTTTTGGCAACGCTAACCCATAAAATTTGTGACATCTCCCATATATCAGAAGTAGGCAAATACCTGACCCTACATTTAGCTATACTATTGACGATCTACATTTTTACAATGGTTTGTAACACGGAAGAACTCGTGAGAGCATAAAGGAAAAAAAAGACATGTTTGTAATCTAATTAGTCATTTCTTTCATAAAAAAATTCCAGTAAACAACACCTCAAAGAAGAGATGTACCAGAACCCTCGTCTGATATTTGATGGTTTCGTACAATTTCCGATCTGTGTTATCTATAAATCTCCTAGGTTAGCAATATTTATTCAACTGCTTTAAAAATCTTAAGCAAAACACAACAAACTGCTCCTAGTGCCAGGTTTATTTGTTTAACCGAGCCATAAACCGGGTTCAAGCTTGGCTCATCAGTAAATAACCACCATCGTTAAAAGTTATCATAAGAACCAATCATTCACACCGTATAACAAAAGCCAGATCATGGTTCATTAGTCACAGTTTAGCAGGCAGACTATAAGAGAATATAACTGGAAAAAATATGGGGGAGGACACGGTGGGGCACATGAGAATTTCATTTTCTACGCACAAAACAAAAAGAAAAAGAATAAAAAGTTCTCAATATGGGAGAGTAGGAAAATAACATTAAAAATGCTTCTTCTGTTTCAAACAGCGCATACCTTCTTGATCTGGCCCCGGATTCCACTGACAGTTCGCACAGCTGCACCTTCAAAACGAGCTATTTCGAGGTCTGAAGTAAACATATCTTTTATAAGTGCGGTCTTCTTAAAAATTTTGCATGGATACCCAACTAGCTTGATTTTCTTGACCACCTGCGCTTCATGATTGGATTCAAGCACAGTAGCTGTTGCAGATATCCTGAACGTTGACTGAGACCAAATAAAAGCTACATAAGAGCTAGGAAAAGACCAACAAAATATTAATATAAAAACTTGGAAGTATGGCTGGTATCACATGTTTAATCTAATGCATAAGACAAGCCTTTTTAAAAAGAATTAATCAAATCTCCATATTACACAAAAGCACATAGATAAAAATATACTATGATGGAGCAAATTTTTCTAAGCACTTTCCAGGGATACCTTTTAGCATTCTTTCTCCTATTAAATGCAAAGTTACTCGTTTTTTAATTTGGAAAAAGAAAATAGAGTTTCAGATTGAATAAACTACAATAAAAGATAAAAGAGTTTATTTTAACCTAAAATCTAAAACTGGTTAGGCCTCTAAAGCTTAGTCTAATTAGAATTCTCACTAAAAGAACAATATATTAATTTTGCACCATAATTTATAGAGTTTTTTTTAATAAGAAACAATTTCACTGGTGAAATGAAATTACAAAAGAGGGAAAGACCCCAATCCATTGGGGTTACAAAAAGGATCCCCAATTGGATATAAGATAAGAAAACTATAGTAGTGAAAGAGAGGAGAACATTTACAACAATTGATAACGAATAAAACTATAGCTTTTTTTTTTTTTAAATCCATGAGTGTCCAGACCAACTTACGCACACCTCGACTAATCTTACAGGGCAACCGTCTAACCCTACAACATTTGGTGCCAAAAACATATAGGAATTGCCAATTCCTAAGGTAGGTGATCATCATGGGGTTTGAACTCATTCCCTTCTAATCAATCCTAGCCCCTTTGGACCATTGAACCACCCCTTATGGTTAAAACGATAGCATCTAATGATCAAATGAGCAATCATTCCCTTTAAAGATTCTTAGATTCCATTCTTGCCAAGTCACCCAAAAGAACGCTCTCACAAAATTCATCCATAGAATTTATAGAATATAAAGAACATTTGTTCTCTTTTTTTGTAACATGGATAAAATATTTGATCATATTTCAAAACACTATAAATACTTGTTTGACCTGCTTTTGTTTCTTTCATTTATCTGGATGAAAAAATCTCTTTGTTTCTTATCAAATATATATATATATATATCATATATGTTAGCTTGGGAAGGAGGCAAAGCATAAGAACCAACCACATACAATGTAAATCTTCATATCTAAATCTTTGTAAATTTCAACATGTACTCCCCATCTCATGTGGTGGATGCAAAACAATAGTATATCATGTGACTGCATTAATATTAACAAAAGTATCATAATGTTCTTGGCATATTATTTTAGTTCAATAACACCCTCCTGCCCATCACTAATTCACTCTACCTACTTGGACAAGTATCATAGAAATTAGTACATTCTTTTTAATATGAAATGAAAGGAGGGTTGATAGGATACTATATTACTGGATATGAAAATATAAGAATTTTCGTTGCTAATTGAGGTCTTTAATTCTAAATTATATATTATATTAAATCGATGATGCAAAATTTAGAGGAACCCAATTATCAAGAGACCAAAGAAGTTTGAACGGCCGACTCTTTGTATCAAAGATGTTAGTGAGGACATGGTTTTTAATCTATAATTGAAAAGAATACCTGATTGCTAGATAAAGTCTGAACAGCAATAACCCCTGTGTTAGGCGGTGCAATAGGCCCCCAGAATATTGCTATACAGTGCATGTGTTCAGGAGTATATTTAAGCATGCGGTATCTCCCATTTGAATCCTCGATTGCATAAACAGGTGTACTTTGGTAACGTCTCCATCCAATAGAAAAAATTAATGGATCTCTAGTCTTCAATACCTTTTTATGCCACCTGTGCCGTTTTAGTCTAACCTGCAGACATATTATAGCAAGACAACTTGGTGATTGAAGAACACTTTTAAATTTCCGAAAAAGAAACAAAGCTTTCATCAAGATATTAGAGCAATTGACAAGAACTCCAATCTCTAATACATCTACTTATAGAAAAATAAATAAATAAATAAAACATACCGAGAATAAAAGTAAATAATTTTCCTTTTACAAACGAATAAAAGAAAAGAAAAATATAGAGACCGAAAAGAATACAAGATCACTATGGTACAAGAAAAAAATTATTCAAATATATTATACCTGCATATATCCAACGTCTGCCTCCCCACGACCAATTACTCCAACCAAAATAGGCTGGCAAGGATCAAAATGTTCAACCATCTCACAAGGAACATCATGCACTTCAAATCTTACGTATGTCCCTGATTGGAAGCCCTCAGTCTCCAATCGGATGGCTTCATCAAGATCACCAAGTAAAGCTTTATTCATTTGTTTCCTAATTTCAATTTCCTCCTTCATCTGAAACAATCAAAGCATGAAGCACGCTCAAGCCTCAAGGTCATGCAAGAAATACTTTTAAAAAGATGGTAGTATGTCTACCTTGTCATAATAATCACTTTCATTGGCTTCATTATGGTTCAACTTGCCCCCTTCTTCTACATCACTTCCATCTTCTGTTGCCTCAGAGCCATGATATGTATGTCAGAATTAAGGTTACAACCAATTTTTTTCTTTTCTAAGTTTCTAACAAGAAACAACTTAAAAAACAACTGTTCATTGATAGTATAAAAACAAACTCCCGATGGAGTGAGATGGGAAGAACAAGGAAACAAAATAAGAACACCCAAGCAATACAGCCATAAAAAGATAAATACAAAATTTTCGGAAAACAATGAGCCATCAATCCAAAAGATCTGTAGCACCAAGAAACCACAAGGCTCCACCAAAACAACCCACAAACAACACTCCACAATGAAATGATCTAAACGAAACTTCCAACCACTGGAGCCATCCAAACGAAGGAGAAGAAGCAACCCAAAAAAGTCACTTGGAGCTGACAACACCCAGAGAAGAAGACATTAACCATCATACTATTCCAAAAAGATAGTTCAAGGAATAAACTACCCTCCATGAGATAGAACCCAACACTAGCAAAATATCCTTGTTTATAGCATTCTTGACCCTACTGCTGTAAACCAAATAAAATTCTTTTCCAATGCTTTTCTTCGACGTATAAAAGGTCTCGGACTCTTCATTCATTTTCAATAAAACAGGGGAGATCAAATAAACACCTAAGTTTCCATCAGTACTCAGATGAGAAGCTTCCAAAGTAGCAGAAGATGAAGCCCCATAGATTCCCTTATAGAAGTCGTAATAGGATATTGAAATACTTCCTCCTCAAAATCAGAAACTAGATTTCTCCCATTGATAACTTCAAAAACCAGTTTAATGAATCTGGAAATGCCTCATTAGAAGCATTTTTAATCTCCAAAACACTCCTAAAAGATGATGAGACTTTAAAACTTCAGCTGAATTCGCCATGCAATGAAACAACGCACTAAAATTGTTTTTTAATTTCTGAAACACTCCCCGGTATTGGAGAATTAATCCAACCGCTAGCAGAGGCAAGGGAAGACTGAATTTTCTTCATTACCTTCTACTTCCAAATGCTTAGCAAGCAGACCCACCCCCAATGAAAGTCTGCTTCGAAAAACTCAACATCAGAATGAAAGACTTATTCGGGCACCACAAAATTGATTCATCACACCCATCCATCTCCTTTGACAACTCCAAACCAATGGCAAATGGCAAGCCTGAACCAACAAAATCTTCATCCCCCAACTGTTTTTCATCAAAACTGACCATAAAAGGAAGGTCAACCTCCAAAAGAGACCTTTCATCTTCCTTTACTGCCATAACTCACAAATAATCCAAATGATTATTAATATGATCTAAATTCATTAGATTCAAAATTTCAACTCGGAATGAAGAGCCACCAACCAACAATCTAAGGGGAAATTTGAACAACATTGTCGCAGAAAAATGAAAGATGACAAATTCTTGAAAAAAAAATGAAAAATAAAAAGAGGAAAGAAAGAAGAGAACTCTTACTTCAAGTTTATTAATTTTCTACTGGAAAATATAACTAAACCAGGTATAAAGTTGTCCACAATCAATAATAGAGACAAGAATTGAATGGGGCATTTAAGAAAATTAAAAAACTAGTTTCATTATCTCTTCATTTAAAGAAAAGAGCATAGGGTGGAAACAAAAAAGAAAAAAGTACAATCAAGATCATCAAAAGGATATTCAGCATCGAACTTTGCACGAAGAGCAAGCTTTCTCAGCCTGCGCTCCTCAATTGTTGAGTCCTCTGCCTTCTGGACCATTGCATCAGTAGCATTCTCAGCATGAAAACTCTCATGCTTCTCACCAGTTTCTACATCTTCAAAGTCACCATAGACATCACTATCATCTCCAAATTTATCCTCAGAACTTTTATTTCTGAGAGCAGCTTTCGACCAATCACCAGTGACAAAGCGGTCACGAATGCTCTCAATATTATTATCATCGAGGAAATTTGTAAATTTGGAATAATCCTCAGAACTAATATTCTCAGCATCAACTCCTTTGCTATCCTTCTGCAGTTAACAATATATTACAAAGTTGAGAAAGTGACCACTATTCACACATGTAGAAAAAATCAAACGAGGACATGAAATCTAATAAAAATGGCTTTTTTAGAAGAAACACAAAATGGCATATTATTTTGGAAAAATTAGTAGAAAGGGTAAACCTTATTCCCCTCGCCTTTAGGCCGAAAGAAGTCATCCCCATCACTTTCTCCATCACTCTCTCCATCACTAGTATCATGTGCTTCATTGCTTGAGGTTGTAGATATTGATGTGGATTTCCCATACACAAGTTGCATGAGATTCGAGTATTGCCTAGAGCTGGTCCTTTCTAATAAAGACTCCTTCCACTTTGATGTGTTACCCATATTGTTCACTACAAATAGAGTAATAAGTTGGCAAACTATCAATGGAACAAAAAGAATTTGCATATAACATATTTACTAGAATAATTACCATCTTGCTCAAGATCATCATCTTGACCATCAGCATCATTGTCACTGCCATCTTCTTCTTCATCTGAATCCTACAGTAACATAAAAGCAAACATCATACCTATCAAAATTCCAAATGACTCCTATACAATATTTTTTGGTAATAGTAAACAATCATGGTGGTGTTCCAATCACAAAAAATTCTTTTGTATTATAGTCTTCTCATAAGGAGTTTCCTCTCCCCGACCCTAAGCTATTCGTTTGAATTTTTTTATTAATCATATATCCTTCAGTTTCTTATTCCCCCTCTCCTCCTAAAACAAATTCTTCAAGTACCAAAAGATATTGTATCGCCATAGGAATTAGGTGGCAAAACCCTAAAAACGAAGTAAGCATACAGATCTACCAGTCACGGAAACTTTCTTAAAGGAAGCAAGTAGATAACTTCTTACAGTAAGTTCACGAGTGACAAAATTGTAGATAGGTTTTTGCTTGTGAGATGATATGGGCACTAACAAGTTGTTTCTCAGCAAGATGCTAGCAAAGTCGACACTAATTGGATGGTGCAGATAAAATATAAATAGACAGCAGCAATCAATGTGGGATAAAGGTAGAGGGAAGCAAAGAGAGAGCCATAACAAGAGATTAATAAATAAGATACCAAAAAGATGAAACACTAGAAAAAGGTTCCTTTATGTGCCTCATCTGTGGACCAAAAAAGCAGCACCCCAAACAGATATTTCTCAGATTAGCTTGCCTAACCTTTGTGCAAGGCAATTCAGCTATGCCTTGAACAGAGGCTTCAGCTATCTATACACGAAATTGGGATGTATCACATTACCATGAGATCGTCCGAATCAACATCATTTCCAAAAACAGCTTTCCTTCTAAGCCTCCCTTGATGAAACTCAACATGTTCCTTCATATGGTCTTCGACAGGGGCCTTCTGATCTAATAAATCATGATATTCTTCATCAGTACCCTCACTTTCAAATTTAGCCTTTTCCTGGACAGGTTTGTCTTGATCTGAAGACTCTGAATCATCTGTATCATGTAGTAGACCAGGCCTATCAACTTCCATCAACCCAGACTGGTATTGCTCTAATGGCTCAATTTCATGAATCCGATTTGCATTTTCAAGAGTATTGTTTGCATCACTCCTAGCTTCGGATGAGCTATCAGGTTTTCGGCCAAAAAGGGAAATAAAGCTCTTCTCTAACTTCTCATCAACTGAGTATTTTGTGTTCTGGAGAGATTTCACCAAAACCTCGCCCACGTCTTGATCCTTTCCTGTTGATGGCAGATAATAATTACTACACAAAATGTGAAGGATGTCTACTAATATGCATACGATGTGACAGATTAAAACTAATATTAAAATAGTAATAAAATACTTCAACCATTTAGAAAGCAGTTCCACTGAGTCTTCAGATTTTGGCATTACTGTCCACCGGCATACTCTAAATGGCTATATATTTTGTAATCTATTTGTCTTCTTAATTTGAGGATTTCTCATCCTCTTGAACATACTTTTCTAAAATTTAATATATCTTCTATTTTCTTAAGAAAAAAAAAAGGACATAAATGGCCCAGGGGGTTCTGAAGTTCTAGTTTGGAAAGAAAGTGACGAGGGGATAATGGTTCTGAGAAGCTAAATAGAATTGAACAATTTTTAAGCTAAATAAATAATTCATAAACCCGATTGGGAAAAAATTACAAGTAGAAGAAATCCTAGAAAGCAAAATATAAATACTTGCTACTACAAGTAGCTATCATTGAGTAATAAGGAATTAAAACCAATTTTACATCCTCAAGAAAAAAAACAAAATACAAGGATGTAAACTTGCATTTTTCAGGTTATTTGCAATATTGTAATCCAAATGCTAACAACTTGACTGCAGATCAAGAATAACCAAGATGGTGAGCAGGGTTCTTCTATACAGCAAACAAATAAGCCATCTGGAAATGAGGCATTTAGTGATAGATTACACTCACGAAGCACTTCTCTGGCAAGTAATGGAAGCAAATTACCTTTATCATCATCAACCTTGGAATACTGCACGAAATGGTCATTAATGTTTATATAAACAGCATCCTTGTCATACAAGAGATCCCCAAGCCCAGACATAGGAGCATAAAACAATTTCTCCTTATCACGTAGTCCTTTCTTTTTGGCAGCAGATGGCAAGGGACAAGGATCAGCCAAACTGGTTACACCAGCCAAATCAAAGTCACCCACACCAGCAATGTGAACCTGATTTGTAACGTTGCAAATAAGGCAGCAATGGGCAAAATTAAGTGGAAGTGGCAAATACATGCACATGATTTAATGCATAAGTTGGTGACTTCCTTGTCATGTTAGTAACCCTAAGAGTACAAGTTTGCTTCTAATTTTATTTTAAAACAGATCAATGATGGTAATAAAAAACAATAAAATAAAATAACCTCGGTAAGTCTTAAATTATATATGGACAAACATTGATTAAAATGTCGTAGTTCATTGTGAACATCAAAATAATGACCGAATATAACAAAAGCTTTTATAAAATTATTTAAATTTTAATACAGAATATAAGATGCAACATAAGTTGTTTGCTTAATAGGAAGCTAGATTTCATGAAGGTTATAGCATCACGAAAGGATGCTACAAAGCAATGTAAATTTAGTAATAATACATCACCTGAATGTATATAGTTCAGTTAGCATCTGAGTCTAATATGCTATTCTTTAGTTTGGTAAATGCATCCATGCCCAACACATATATTAAACAGTCCGACACTTGCAAGACACTTCAACAAAAATGTATATACAAAAAGAAATTTGATGCAATAAAAATGGGCTTGCTAACAGTATTCTACTAGACACATCATACACTTAAAAAAGATAGGTAAAAATTAGGAAGTTTAATAAATAAATAAATACAGTAGCTAATAGAAAAGCTATAACAAAGAATTCTGCTTCACTTGGCAGTTCACTTTCGCATAATAGACTCAGATGCTAACTGAACTATATACTTTAGACGGCTTATTTTCAAGGTTTTTGTGGAAAGGTAATGGGGAGAACAATGGAATGCACCTTCTCAAAAGAGTCATTTTACAACTACCAATCCAAGAGGGAGGCTTAAGGATTGCTAATATGAAACTGACAAACAAAACTCTCCTTGCAAAATGGAATTCGAGATACATCAAGGAGGATACAGCTCTTTGGAGGATGGTAATCGAGGCAAAATTTGGGAAAGCATCTTGGAACCACAAACCTGTCACTACATCTCACCCGAATGCGAAAAGTCCATGGGCTGCCATTATTTTTTTTTAGATAAGAAACCTGTATATTCCATGAGGAAAACAAAAAGGAACAACCTAAGGGCTGGGGTAGAGGAAACCCCACCCAAAAGGACTACACAATCACTTTCCAATTGTTCAAAACCATGGAAAGATTGTAGTTACAAAATAATTTGCTATAGTTGATGCACCACCGAGAGGCTGCCATTAGAAAGACACAAAATCTGATTTTTGACCGGCTGGCCTACAAAACTGGAAATGGCAGGAACATTTCCTTTTGGGATCACCCATGGATGAATAGTGTGCCCCTTAAACAAACATTTCCTCTCCTTTTCGCTTTATCAACAAGAAAGGAGGCTCCAATCTCCAATTTCTGGGATGAATATACAGCATGCTGGAATTTAGGATTGAGGCGAAATCTTAAAGATGATGAGATAATTGAATGGGCAGGCCTCAGTTTTCGACTCACAGGGGTTCATTTAACATCAGAAAGGGATGTTTTATTCTGGAAACTAAAAGCAAATGGATCTTTTTCCACCAGCTCCCTCACAAAGGACCTCGCACACAGCAACAAAGTGTCCCAAAACAGCCTCTACAACACTATCTGGAAGGTCAAGTGCCCAAAAAAAGTGAACTTTCTTTGGGAGCTTAGTCACCGTGCCATCAATACCAATGATAAGTTACAAAGATAAGTTACAAAGAAGACTCCCCTACTTGGCTATTTCTCCACAGTGGTGTATCATTTGCAAGAACAGCTTGGAATCCCAACAACATCTCTTTACCGCCTGCACCTTTGCTTCTGATTTTTGGAAGGATATTCTCAGTACTTTTGGTTGGTCCACAGATTTGCCTAATGACCCCCAACTTCTCCTTGAGGCCACCCTAAACGAACACCCCTTCAAGAACAAAAAGGAACAGCTATGGAAAAATTTCATTCGAGCTTTTCTTTGGACTACTTGGGGTGAACGAAATCAAAGGACCTTCAATGACAAGACACAATCCTTTGAACGTTTTTTTGATGCTATAGTGTATAAAGCTATCTTTTGGTGTAAAACCTCTCCTACTTTTCATTACTATAGTCACACTTCCCTCTTGTATAATTGGAAGTACCTTATGTAACCCATCTATGGGCTTTTGTATACCCTTTCATGGGGTTTGTAATTTCATACATCAATGAAATTGTTCCTTTCACAAAAAACATGTTTGAAACTTCTATAACCTCTCTCTTTCACTTTAAATGAAAAATGAAATAGATGCGTCAAGCAAATATCAAATTTGTTCATTAAAGCAGAATTGATGTTTAGCAGATAAAATCAACTTCCATAAAAAATAATTTTACATAAACTTTAATGGTGATTTATTTTCCTTATTATAATAGTATAAATAAAAGAAAACATAAAATTGAAATCAATAACTATAAATAGATATCACCTCGAACAACAATAATACACCTAAAGATCATAGCAATGCTCCAAAAAGTTTGGACAACTTTATTGTTATTCTCTCCTGCCACTACTATTTCTCAAAGTAGTGAACAATAATCTAAACAGATAATAATTCCTATATCAAGGCAAAACCAACTGTCAAAGAAGTGTTACCTTAGTTCCCTTCTTCTTCAAATTACAACCTCGAAGATAACCATAAAGTGTGATATTTCTATCACATTTATTATTCATATGCACTCTTTCAGGTGGAGTGACATCTTCAAAACGATCCACCAAAACATATGGATGATTGGTACGCCAAGACAGAGGCTGAAACTTCATCACAGAGATAAATCGGGCAAGATTGTGAACTTCACGATTAGGGTATCTGTTAATGAGGGAAACTTGTGAATTTAAGAACCATATTGCCCACAATTATATTACCCTATTGCCAAAAGTAAATGTGTAAAGATGGGGACTGAAGAAGATGCTTACTTCCCATTTATAAGCCCAGATAGATAAAATAATTTCGCTCCAGTTCGTATCTCAGTCCAAAAACGATGTTTAAGACGCTGCTTCGTTTTTCTTAACTTTTTTGCATCCTTAAACTTATCAAGGTGAGTGAGAACCCCCATAACTTTTGGAAGTCCATGATTATGCAAAATATTGAGAAACTCAAAAGTCTCCTGTGAAGTAGGTTAGTGGAAGAAAAGTTCCAAGTTAGCCATAATCAGTAAGGAAATGACATTCTTTTGGCAAAAGCAATTCCCATATATGAATTAACATAACAAATCCATTAAAATCTTCAAGGTTGAGAAATTAAGCTAATGGACGGACGTGGAATAATGGTATCTCACCATCTCAAAACCGTAACTACCATCAATAAGAAGCAAAGTCAAATCAGCAAACTTTGCTGCGTCAATCATCCCATTGATATCATTTGGGCACTCTACAAACTGCAACCGCCTTTGTTTACCTAAAAAACACCATTCTATGTAAATTGAGAAGAACACAAATCCCTAGCTAAAATGAACTTCAATGTATTGGACAGTAATTGAGTAACAAGCACCAATGGAGTGAACCTGACACAATTGTAATTGGTCCACGAACTTCTGGTAAATTATGTTTGGTATAATGCTTTACTAGAGATTTTATTAAAAGAGACTTCCCGACCTACAATAGAGAAAATGAACTTTGAGATGCAATTCATTATACCCTGAAGTAAAAAGTAATCTTTATCAATAAGTAATCTGCACAGTAAATTCATACCTGGGGAGGTCCTTGTACAACAATGACATAAGGAGCCGGTTCACCATAACAGCGATCAATTGTGGGAACATGAAGCCTACGTTGTTCTTTCTCGACAGAACGAGATTGCAACCGCTTGGCTTTTACTGATGAGTTAAAAGCAAATGCCTAGAAAAATATGTATCCAAATTTAGTCCACATGACAGCAAGCTTAGAAAGGAGCATACACAGCACAATATAACAGACAACTTACCTTCGGATTCTGCTTCCTATCATTCTCCGACACTTCACCCTTCCTCTTCACCTTATCATCCTTTGTTTTCTTCTTTGAATTGGGACCGGATTGACGAGATCTATGGGCCTTGTGAGATTGATCTTTGGCATCGATGGCCATGATTACCTAAAAAATTATAATGAATAAACTTTTTAGCATCTTGGTGGGATTCTTTTTGTAATAGTGTTCAAGTTTCAGCATC